ATAATGCCCTTAAAATAACGAGATGGAGATAAAAGGCGCATTTACTCGATACCGCTAATTCCATTAAAATATAAACATTTTTAAAATATTCTATGGAGTTACATTAGCCAGCAATAAGCCACAGGTTTAAACGACTTAATATTCAACCTGTTTAAGTAGCGGTATTTTTTTGCAATTAATAAGCACACATGACGCATACATTTTATAACCTTAATATTTTTGACTAAAGCAATCCGGTTTGTCTACAATCTAGACCTGATTCAAATGTCCTTTTCTCTCAACAGCGATTGAGTTAAAACAAGATTAAAATCGAAGACCGTTGAATGCGTTCACCGTTCTATTTGTCAAATTCATCTCATGCATCTTCTGCGGAATGGGAAAGTAGTTCTGTGCTACTCTCTATCTGCTGAGTTTTTGTCGTATATCAAGTCTTTGAGGCGGTTTTGAGCTCAAAATAGGATTACGCAAAGAACCACCGTCTACGTGTTGAACGGACTACCGTTTCCAATGATATACGCTATTTAACTTGCATAAGGAAAATAACGACACATACCTCATGTATGTGTTTAACAACTATTTCTTTTCAATGGAATTATAATATATAGGAGATAAGGAATGCACTGCGGGATTCATTATTTTATCTCGTATATACATACGTACATCATTTGTTCTGTAAGTATGTAAGTAGTACGTGTAGATTTTATCTAAAGGCGCCAGGTAGACCGGCCATAACCACTTTCTAATGACTAAAATCATTTTGAGAACTCGGTAAGGTGTGGCATTGAATCGATTGGATAAAGTTGACATACCTTTTATGTATCAAAAACTCAATTACATGAAAACTATCCATGAGATTCTAAAATTGTGATCTAACTTAACAGCACTATATTTTGTTTTTATTGAATATATGTTTCGTAGTTCTCAATATCTTAGACTTCAATTGTTTTGAGTTCAGTGTATTTTGTCATAAAGGTGAAGCGATGATTTATTTGTTTATATTGTTAAAGGAAGATTATGATTTTGAATATAGTATGTATGTATGAAAAGTTTGTCGTTTGGTTCTTAGTACACGGATTACATAGGGCCATGTCAGATTCGATTTCAAAACTTTCAAAATATGAAATATAAAACGTGCCTGGCGCCAATTCAACCTCTATTTTACTATTAAGGCAAATTCTTCGCAAATCGATGTAAAATTATTTAATGACGTAAAACTTAATGTATAATAATTTACAAACTTTTTGTAATAGCCAAAACTGGTTCTGTTGAAATGCTTAATTTGATGATATTAAAAACAAGTTCGTTATGAATTACAAAAAAAATAGGACTTATAGAGATTTACTACATTAATTACAGAAGTGATTTCAAACAGCTGATTACTTCTGTTAAGTGTTTTGGTTTACGCCGTTTACCGTTTTAAGTTTCCGGGAATGTAGAAAAGTATGTTTTTACATGCTGTTCTTAAAAACGAAACTTCCTTCAAAACGTAACGGGTTTCCATTAAGAAAAATATTATTAAAAAAACATTTTCATAAACGAAGCCGCTGTCGCCTTCACACATAATTAAAATACCATACCAAATATTTTACCAAACATTCTACCAAAAAACTTCCCAAATAATCACTAGAACTGAACAAATAAAAAGCAGGCTACATGCTAGTGATATTCTCATAAAAGGCTTAAAGCACGGTCCTGGGGTGCCCTTGATGGTAATCAATCCGTTTCGTCCTTCGTGAAGCCGGAGGCCGCGGTTGGAATGCGGCATGGGCCGGTTTTAACGTAGGTAATAATCTTGTGTTGTGGCTGTGGCCAGGTCACAGTGTAGCCGTTAGAATATCTACTTAATTGTTCTTTAATTATACTACACATTTGTTTGATTGCGTCAAACTGGGTCAGTTTATGTCTCTAATAATTATCTTAAGGAAGTATTTTCACAATGGGTTTTGACCTGACCTAACTTGATATTTAAATGATTTTTAAGTTATACAGGTTTACTGTACTTATATCTACTTATATATACTGTACGTATATCCTTTATTTTATGTTTTTTTTACTGTTTTTGTATAGTTGATACATTGTTTTATAATTTCCATTACTAAAATTGTAGTTAACCAACTGGGCCAAAGAAAGAAAAAAAAACATTTTCTTTTCTTTGATGAATATTAAAAAAAAATCTTTGACAGTTGAACTGTAGATCTGTTAAAAAACATGTACGGTATTGTCAGCTATTTAACAATAGTCTAGGATAGTATCAGAATTCAAAAAACTTATATGATAGAAAGAAATAAAGTATTAAGAATTCGCATACAACCCGGTAGTGCCTAGTTGAAAACTTGGCTTGTATTTTTGGACTGTTTCGTTTTCTATTCATGACTAACTATTGCCAACTGAACTTTGATTTGTGCTTCTGTTGAAGATGACGACCCATACGAACGAAAAATCCAGGGAAACTTAATTCAGAAACTTGTTGATAAACTCGATAGAGAGGGCCCGTGGTCACCTTTGTATCACGAATTTAAGGCAAATAGATCAATCGACCTTGCGTACATATAGAACATCAAAATTAATAACAGATAAACCACAGGAGTAGAACAAACAGCAGAATATCTTATAGAATCTCTCGTACCTAACGATAGAGCGGAAAATGAAACTGATTATCACCGACAGATCAGGTAGTGGGCCATCGAACCACCATTGTCTCCAATGTCTGACTTACCATCTTCAGACGAATTTCTCAGTATCGTTAGATCCTTGCCGCCAAACAAGGCTTCGGGCGATGATAAAATATCAAACAAAATGTTAAAAGAAGCTTGTAAACTTTCGGGTGACACGATTTTGACTGTTTTTAAAGATTGCATTGCGAAAGGAATATTTTCTCGTATTTGGCGGTGCGATATATTCGTATAATACCAAAAAGCGGCGACAAGCCGCCGGATGATCCTAAATCCTACCGACCAATCACATTGTTACCATCGTTGGGAAACCTTTTAGAACGTCTTGTAGTGCCCCGGCTTCTGCCAGGTGGAGTCAAATTTCGTGATAGACAATTTGGATTTACGTTGGGGGATTCGACAATTGACGCGGTTAAATCGGTTAGGAAGTTTGTCACAGAGTCAAAATTTTAATTTAATTTTCTTAGCTATATCTAGCGCCTTCGACAACGCATGGTGGCCCACGATGTTGCTGAAATTAAAATCACGGGGTGTTGCTAAGGAGGGAAGTTGATTTACTGTATTTCCAACTCCTCCAAATGTTCTTCTAATTAATTTCGTTGCGGGTTCCAAGACAGTTTAATTTTTACCTGAGACTTCCCGGGTGTCTACTCGGTGTGTTCGTGGGTCATTGCTGTTGATCCTGGTGTACAGGAGTTACAGTGGTGGGCGTGTTCGAGGGATAAGTCCCAATAAAAAATAAGACGTCATAAAGCAAGGATTAGAAATAATAAAGAAATGTTCACTAACATTAGTTTGTACGACCACCTAAAATTTTTGAAAACACAATGAAGTGAATTGTCATCTATCAGGCTTAAAATTTTGTCATATTTCAAATAGCTAATCAGGTAAGGACAGAAAATAAATGTTCATGATTGACATTTCATAATTCTTACAAGTTGTCGCCTGCGATATTTCCGGACCGAACCCTTCGAAGGCCTTCAAACCTTTAAGAAAAGAGTGTTCCTTTACTTAAAGGCCGGCAAAGCGCTTGTGACTCCTGAGTTGTAGGCGTTCATGGGCAGCGGTTGTCATTTTCCATCACGTGACCCGTCTGCTAGTTTGCCCCCTATATAATAAAAAACAAAACATTGCTTTGTGTGACATACAAACAACCAATATTGAACAGAAGTGGTTTGAGTGACCAATATTTTGTATGTTTGCAAAGACTTCCCTGAAATGTCTCTTTTAAGTAGGAAAAAAAATAAACTGAAGAGAAAATTTACCTCATATCTTTTTACACTTAGCTATACTTACCTGTTATTAGCGAATTATGTAGATTCGCTAATAACAGGTAAGTAACAGTTTACATCCGTAATTTCTGGTAGATAACACCTTGTCGCTGGTTTTGATGTTCAAATGTTTAATCATTTGTAAACCATATTTATACTGGACTAGCTGACACCCGCGGTGTTACCCGCGTTTGTTGTTACAACCGCGGGCAACGCCGCGGGGCAAAGCTAGTCTAAAAAAAGTAGCCTAAGTTACTCCTTATGTCATCAGCTATCTGCCAGAGAAAGTCCCGTCGAAATCGGTCCAGCCGTTCCAGAGATTACCCAGGCCAAACAGACAGACAGACAAAAATTGTAAAAAATGTTATTTTGGCATATGTACCGTATAAACATACATATGCATTTAGTAAAAAGCGGTTATTTTAATATTACAAACAGACACTCCAATTTTATTTATTTGTATAGACGAGTCACTACTGACATGGATAGGATGTATTGAATTAAGTTTTTATACGACAAAAAATGAAAACTTAATGTGTTCGCTGTACTTATCTAATCGTTAAGTAAGCACTGTGATGCAGTTGTGTATCTGTCCACTATTATGTACCTGCTATCTTTTTATCATATCTTTAAATTTGTACATAGTGCACGGCTAACCTTTAAAATCATTACGAACCCTAAACTTAACAACTAATAGTAGAATACGTGCAAGCGTATTGCGTTATCAGTAAAAGTTTTAGTTCACATCACTGGTGAAATGGGTAGGGTGAACCCTCAATTGATCGAAAGTTCGTTGCTTAGCCATTGCGCTACCACTTCTTTGGTTTTAAATGGAAAATACCAGTCCTTATACTTACACATTATATATAATAATGATATAGATAGTATTTCTTAGTGGGTACTTACAAATTAAAAAGCATACTACCAAAATTATGCTACCAAAATTTCAAGTTTGTAGCCCCAGCGGTTTAGGCTCTTCGTCGATTAATCAGTCGGTCAGAACGATTAATTTAAATTTATAGATTAATGTACTAACTATGAATTTTCATTGTGACAGACATATGCAGCTGACAACTCGGCAGGCAACTCACAAACGATCTTGGAGAGTTTGAACAACAAGTATTTCTTCTTCACGAGGACGCGAGGACTCTTCCGCATTTGCTATCCTAAGGAGCGGCCGCCTTCAGGTAAGATAAATGATAAACTTTGACTTGGAATTTAAAGTTCACTTCACTAAGTAAAAATATATTAAATGGATGTTATAAGTATTTTACTAAAGAGACGACTAGGGCCTTATCTTACCTAATCTTCCCTGTCTAAATTAGTACCAAAAATTGAAATTTACTTAAATATATAAACAGAAGTCACATATATATTAATGAGGGTTGTACGCTAAATCCCACAGATATTTTACTGCGATAGACGAGGCTCACTTCACTACTACCGTAGAGTAAGAATCTCAATGATGAGTGGAGTACATACCGGTAAATGTGAATTTCTAAATTGAAATTCTTGTAATTCCTTCAATCCAAATGACCAGTTGTACCTATAAGAAACAAGTTCTTTAACTTTTAGTATAAAAATATCTTTTAAGATAAAAGCACTCAGTAACACACGAGCTGTTGAAATCTTCTATTTAACCAATCTATTCAGTACTGTTTTTCATGTTATTTTTTACAAAACGACATTTGAAAGTGTCCTGTTTTATGTCATTTGATATTTGCAAATCAGCTTGTTAGTATTTCTTAAAGATTAAATTTGCTATTTATTTCTACGTAAACTCAATAATATTATAGTAAAGAGGATTTATGTAGATATATCTTTAATGTGATTTAATGTATTTCCTAATAGATTTTTATTTTTTTAAATTGTGTTAATGTTGTTAAAGCCATTAAATTCAGATTACTACTGAGATTAGAATGTTTCTAGTACAAAGATTAAGCAGAAAAGCATATTAGTTAATGGTAATTATTAATCAGTTTTATTGTATTAAGACAGGTACTTAAAATATTTTTCAATAAGTACGAGTATATGATTAACAGTGATTTTTAGTAACTTTTACGTTTAGGAATGTATTATACATTCACCCACGTTTTGTCAGTGTTCGTTGACGTACGGTTAACTGTTCTCAAAGCATACGACAAATATTAATTATAATATTTAATTATAATTTAAATATAATATTTAAATAATAATTATAATTTAATAGAAATTTCATCGCTTGGAATGCACTTTTATTGTCGCTATAAATTTAAATTAACATTTTTTTGTCTCTTTTTCTAAACAAGCATTTTCTATTGAATATTCCTGAGTTGAAAGCGTTCATGGGTGGCGGTAGTCGCTTTCCATCAGGTGACCCGTCTGCTCGTTTACCCTATTCCATAAAAAAAATAGAGTGAGCTGAGCATAGTCTCAGAGCTTTTTGTGACCTATGAGCATGTTTCAAATGTGCTTCATCGTATGTCTATGAAGTCGTCTAGAACTAATTAAAACGTTTTATTCAATGTTTTACTTAATTGTTCATACATTGTAACCATGATTATCTATCAGGGCGTAAATATTCAACATTATGGAGCGTGAATCCAAGGGGTTCTAGACTGTATCATTTAAAAAATATGCATTATTTTTGCATGTGTTTGATGGAAGTGGTCAGTGGCACAGGTGTACGGTAAACATACATATGCTGACTAACAGTTAGGCGCTGCACAATAATGGTTATTGCTTGTAAGAAGTAAGGTATCTGGGTTACTTACTGCGAGATGTGAGTACATGATGTAGTTATCGTAATATCTTGTACCTACGTCGTGAATACTGAGTGCAGTCGTGCATTTAGTACTTTTTAAATAATTTATGTATACTCGTATATTTAACAACTCAAATTATTCGTTTTTTTAAATAGTATTTTGTTTAAGTTTTAATCAACTGTGTAAAGTAATCTCAGCAGTTAATTTTAAGTAGGCTTTTTATTAACATATACAAATGAAACTTTGCATGTGTGTGTTTCAATGACAATACACTAACTTGGCATCTTGAAGTTGATCTGATAATAGAGCCAGGAGTTGGATTGAGGAATTATTATATTAAGTAGTTTACTTATTAAAAATTACTATACTAACACTATAGCGCTCAATATGATATGTCTGTTTGGCTACAATCTAGTAATAATAGGAGAAAAATTATCTGCATGAAATCAACTTATGCATCTTTATGGAAGAATTTTTTAAAGAAAATGGAAATTATGAACATCTAAGCAAGTATAAAGTAAAACATTGAAAAATATAATTTATCGGTTATATAATTTTTAATAATTTATTACCTATTTTAATATTTTCAACTGTTCTGGTTCGGTCGCATAGTGCGTGTTTAATTTTTACTGAAACTTTCCGCACGTGAACTAAAATGTATTAAAATTGAACTCAATCGAACTCGAAATAAATTCGTGCATACTTTATTCACCGACACGCAAACATTCATAGTAGGAAGAATATACCGTTGTTGTGTAATCTATTACCCAATTATTATTTTAGGTTTTCTTTATATACTTTATTGTTGCATACACTTTCTGGTTATTTATTTATTTTTATCCTATTGGTGTTAAACAGTCATGAATCGCACCTTTTGGTCTAGTCCTCATGTTCGTCTCCTATACAATACTTACTTTAAGATGTAATTTTAGTACAGATAAGCTAACAGCAAATTCATGATAAGTCCGTTATAGGTTTATGACAATAATAGTAAATTCATAACACATTTGTTTCGCATTTCACAATATGTACTAAAGATAGCATCAGAATTCATTGTTTAACGACCATACAATGTTAAATGTGTGGTTATTTTACTTTCTAGAAGTTATCTGGACATTTTCTGGTACATAAACCTGATTTTATTGACTTACACTTAATTCTGAACCACTTTTTTATGCCACTTCACAATTAATCTTCAATACTTGTTTTGAAAAATACTGTACTACTATTATTCAGGTTAATATTTAATAAAGTAAGCAGACGTAACCATTAATGTTCGTATTCTTATTTTGAAATATATTTAATGTGAACGTTCTTTTTTACTAGAGTATGTCTAAGTATAAAGGCACGGATCACGTAAGGCATAGCCTGGTGCCATCCCTTCATAACATGGTACAGAATGAATTTATATTATCATTCTTAAAACTTTATAAAAAATAACGTTAAACTTATGTGTTCTAAATTATTATGGCAGTTAAGTTACTACCACACATTTACAAAGTAGGTAAGTACGCACTATTTCTATATAATAACATGTTATTTAACACAAGCCGCCGTGGCCTATCTCTCGCGTTTGATTGCGGCATAATGTACTACTACGTTACGTGGTACTGATAGGTATTCTGCGACGCCAACTTGAAGGAGAACTTATATTACACCGGATGTCAATTGCGAGATGTACTTTGAACCTAATTATATAAAATGACTAACTTTTCACCACAGATTCTCTTGCTTAAATGTTTTTGTCTCCCTCCCTGTTCCTATCCTGTAACGTGTATGTTGTTCAAGATGATCGGTCGAATAGGTACGACGTAAAACGTTATAATGAAGAAGGCCATAGAAAATAATAATTTAATCTGTTTCTAAGGCCATCAGGTAATGACCGATTCCGGCTGGCGTGGATTCGAGAATTGTTTAAATTCATGATTTGGTCCACTACAAAATGTTTTGTTAGTACGACCTGTAGAAGAAGAGACCTAATGTTGCAAATACGGGGCAAGTTTATTCTTTTTGAGAGATACAGGCGAAGTTGCTGGGTCAGCTAACATTAGGTATAATAAATACACTTTGTTTTCTGACAGATAAAATTTTAATCTGAATACATTTTTTCAAGGAATTATTATTAAGGAGGAGGTTTGCCGTATTTTGTTAAGACTATTATTTATGTAAGTGTATTCAATCCCATTTCACTATTTTTTTAAGTACCGAAAGGCTGTAAATATGTCGCTTAAACAATTTGTCATTGAGGCTAAAATCATTATCGCACACCTAGTTTTCTAAATAAACTTTTGCTTAATCGTAAAGATAGATAAGCTTGCTTTGTGAACTGAGGGTAACCACCTCATCGAGGTTAGTGGGGAAGTAGTTTGCTGGAATTGAGCCGACTTAAGTCGCAGTGTTCCGTCCCAAGTAGCTGTGTAGGAAGTAACTTTGGACCATATACACATATTTTTGTTGTTCATTTTTACAAAATTCGTTGTGTTAGGATCTGAATTAGTAGAATGTATCAATCAACGTTGGCATCTTGGCGATATAGGAGTTAACATTTCTGTAGCTATATTTAAGTTCCGTGTGAAAATTACTCAAAAGACGCGCTATGCGGAACTGACGCGCGTCAGTAATCGTGATGTCAATCATGTTTCATATAAATTTGCTTCTTACAAGGTCACTCACTTAAACAATTATATAGAGCCTTGACCCTTCGTATTCAAGATCTATAGTCCATATTCCCGAGGTCTCATTTATATATTCAGGACACCATACAACCCACCATATTATGCACATGTTAATGTATACGCCTACCTGTTAAGGTTACTTTTTTGGTTAGGTCAAACGTGTTTGCAAATTAATTATCTATGAATATAAATTGAATGAATTTTTCAGTTCTCAAATTTGGACAAAAGCGAAATTGAACCTTCTTATCGGTTAAAGAGTAATATGTAGAAAATTACCTTGTTCCGGCATTAATTTATTTTTAACTATGGTTTTATTATATGTTTTTCCTTTGTCTCTCTTTTGAAAGGCCCGAAAGGAATAAGTTGTTCGATTTAGTTGAGTAACTTGGTAAATAAAGTTTTAAATTTATGAAAAAAATTAGTTTGTTGTAGTGAACTAGATAATAAAATGAGGAAAACCATTACTTTAATTACTTTAAATATTAGTAGGATATTTCTGGCAGAGTATCGTACAAAATAAGTAAAGCTTGTTACACCTTGAACTGTTAGTGTTTTACATTGACGTTCAAAGTTCAGTTTATTTTTTCAGAGGTTATACTGATAATTTTAAAGTGATTTTTAAATTACATTCTTATCATCAGTTTGACAATATGATAATGTGATTCTGTCTAAAATAGAATAAAGATGATCTCAGTTTCTGAATATTATAAAAATAGTTATTTTAACTTTTAAGCCATTGCCCTCAAAATGAATGTAAAATACCGTCAC